TCTCCTTTTCTTATACTCTCAAAATCGAAAACAAATACCCTGAAGCATTGTAGTAATATTAACTAGTTGCAATATTTTCCTGAATAGTTTTATGTACTAGACATCATGCTTGCAAAACATTTGTTTTGCCATTTAATCCTCAAAACAATCGTGTATCATTATCATCTTCATTTGCAGTTGAGTAAGCTGGGCTTTAAAAGTTAAGCAACATGCCAGCAATCACATAGCTAATACTGGAGTAGACAGTCCAACCTAGTTACTGGATTGTTTCCCTTGTAATCAGAACTTCTGCATATTCTTGACTAATAATGGATGGAAAACCACATGAGGTATCGAACACCTGTAATCTCAGTATTCCGGAAGCTGTGATAGGAAGGATGCTATGAGTTCAAGATCAGCCCAGGATATGTAGCCGTGAGAATTAATTCCTATATATAAATGTGCAAGTCAATGGGGAAAAGGGCTAGCTCAAAATTGCTGTGTTGAGGACTGTGGAAAACTATTAGGAAAAAGTGATATTTTAACCCTTATGCAATCACTGATCCTTTAAAAATTGTTTAGATTTATTTTGTGTGTATTCGTGTCTTGCTTGCATACACAGCTACAACACCATGTGCTTGCCTGGTACTCAGGTCAGAAGAAGGCACTGGATCTCCTAGAACTAGAGTTACACACAGCCCCATTCACTAGTTGTATGTAAGCAAAATGTATACACATGAATATAGATAAATAATAAACCATGTCTCCAAGCTAAGAGAGTCACTTGATGGTCTGGGCTTTGGGTAAGGTTTGCCCTACTGGCAAATACACAAGGGTAGGACTGTGTCAGTGAGGAACACTTACAGACAGATACACAAGGGTAGGACTGTGTCAGTGAGGAATACTTACAGACAGATACACAAGGGTAGGACTGTGTCAGTGAGGAACACTTACAAATACACAAGGGTGGTACTGTGTCAGTGAGGAACACTTACAGACAGATACACAAGGGTAGGACTGTGTTAGTGAGGAACACTTACAGACAGTTACACAAGGGTAGGACTGTGTCAAGTG